TGAGGGCTATGCAAATAAACTGTTGTCACTTACATTCAGAACAGATACACGAAATAAACTACTGATTAATTTCTAGAGGGCTAAAAAACTATCCTGCCATTTTTCTACAAGCACCATTTTGATAAGAGAGCAAAAAGCTGTAAAGATGTAAGACAGTAAAATATTTCTTCATTCTCAGATGAAATCTACTTCTCTTTTGTCTACATATCTCATGGAAGAAGGAAAAAGATGCTACTCTATCAACCTGGATTTCAACACTTGTTTTTCATAGAACAGAAGCCTCCTGTCAAAATCTTCTTTTCCACCATCACAATCTTGGGAATCTGGATTTTTCCTTTCATGTCATGAGATCAAGTTTTCTGTTTTGCTCCATCTTAAAGAACTGTTTCAATTCTAGAGCATTTGCATCTATTGCTTCACAGTAGCAGTTAACCAGTGGAGAGAAAAAGAACTGAGCTTTGATCAAGTAGAGATGCAAACTCACTCATATCAGCAATCCTATCTTGGACTAAAATTGTTAGTTTGGCCTTGCACTGTGAAATGCATTTTTTTTTGCATGCTAATACTCTGTATTATCCATGTCCAAAGTGTTAGTTGGGTATTTATTTCCATTTATGACCTTATGAGAGGCAATGCATGCTCTAAATCCTTGGCTCATTTTTAGACATTGGAGTTGAGATCTTCAATGCAAACAGATGATCAGTAGGATATTCTATATTGTCTAGGTCTAATTCTCATTGAAATTTGAGTATCTTAAAAATCTTGCAGCTCTGCCACAGAGCTAAACATGACCAACAACATTCTTACTTTAAAGTAGCAATGCAATTCTAATATTTTATCGTAAGAAATTGTTATAAAATTATATTCAAGGGTTTTCAAGCTCAGACTGTAAACTGGCATCATTTCATATCCTTGAAATTTTGAAATGTGTTATGCTATTTTATTTTACAAATGGAATACTTGCTAGTCAGAGAGATCCATCTCTCTTTCCATCTATTTACTTTAATTAAATAAATAACTCAAGTATTGCACCATATAGTGACATATAGTTTAGAGCAGGACCTTTTCTACAGACTTTTAAACAGTAATACGAAGGATTTTCTATCCAAGAATTCCTGTAATCATATTTTTTTCTGAATACCTGAAAAAAACCTGGTGGTACAGGACCTACTGGCATGCCATCTCCTGGGGGAATGTTTCCTAGCACTGGACTGGGAGCTGCTGCAGCACTCTGAAAAGAACAAAGGGAAAATAAACCTTTGTCATTGCATGGTAGGCACAAAACCCCCCGCCAAAAAAAAAAGACCAAAAAACCTGCTGTGACCAAAATGCAGAAAGCAATTCATTCTTTCATCTAAAGGTAAATGAAAATTGTATAATGTTTAGTCTTATTTTATACAAGTGTAACGATTTGTTAAAGATCATAAGTATACATTGAGGGGAAGGATGCTAGAGATTGCATAGATATACAGATATGTATTGCTTAGATAGATCTTGTCTAAATAAAAAAAACGTATCTGAAAATGTATGTCTATATGAACACGAGTATGTAACTTGCACACTTTTGCTCTTATTATGTGAGTACAAACATCCCCACTCATGCACACCGATATATATGTAGGATAAGGAAATCAATTTATGCATTTTACCAGCAATTTCCAAGCACTTTAAAGATTATTTCAGCAGCCTGTAATATTCTTTCAGGACTATATTGAGCTTCAAAACAAGGTTCTGTAACAAGCAGCACACAAAGGAACGCTCATGATTCTGCAGGTAATGTTCATGATTCTACCAACCCCCAAAATAACCACCATGACAAATTAGAAGAATTCAGGTTACATTTTTGGAAAGGAAAAAAAATGGGATTCTAAGAAGTGAATCAGAGGATGAAATTAGCTACCTTTACAAATCCTTTGGTTGAAATATGCAGATAAAGAATATTGCTTCTGGCAATTTATAAGCAGGAGATCATCACAAAAAGGGAAGCCAAACAGTTATTGTTGCCATGTATTGGAACCTCAATTACTTTTAATTTCTAGCAGCCTTCCTTCCTTCCTTTTAGGGCATAAAGCTGAATGACCTATAAAGACTTACAATATTTGTGAAAGTATTCATGCACGCACAATGCAAAGAGAGATGCTTGCAGTTCACTAATGATCTGCCAAAATCTGCCCTAGAGAATATGAATGACTTTTGTTCATTAACTGATCACTTCATTGTACTCTCACACTTGCTATCCAAAAGATGCCGATCTGTAAATTATATTCCCAGGTGTTTGGCACACTATCTAGGAAATTAAATAATAATGCTGGAAAGATTTGAAAACTGGCACAAAGACGAGCTGACCTTTTTAAACTAAGAAAAAAGGAAATATTCAGTTAATTACTGCAGATTTTTCAATGGCTTACACCATGCTTCAGAATCATTTTTTTTTAACAACTACTAGTAATATATTTAGCATCTACATTGTATGCTCTTTTAAAACAAAAGTCCAGAAGACACTGTAAAAGTATGAAATTGTATAAAGTACTGTTTTTAGAACTGATTTCGAACATTCGATTCACTAGAACACAGAAATCATTAATGTAATAAGGACATGCTTATTTATTCAAAGATTTTTCTTTTTAGGATCAGCATTAAAATATACAATTGCAGTTGACCAAGTCAGTCACATGAATTGGCGGTAGCAACCACATTTGAATCATAAAACCTTTTTGTCAGGAACTACCATAAATGAATGAAGCTATTCTGTAAAGTCGCAGCAAATAAAGATGGTTATCTGCTATTTCTTGGCTATTTCTTGGGCACTACCTGAGGTTCTTGGGGCTGGAGTACCATGGAGCTTGACTCATGGGAAAGCACACTGCAAGATGGAGCCTCTCTGGTCCTTCTCCTAGATCTATAGCACTGGCTTGGACTCCGAAGCAGCGAGAAATATAAGTGGCGTGAATGCAGATAAATAACTTCTGAAGTACAATATAATTTTGTAATCTTCTCTTTTGTATGGTTTCTGTGTTTATCTACTAATTACTCTGAGAATAGCTGCATTTCCAAAGGAGAGTGGATGAGCCAATCATCTGGAGGCTTTTTAGGCAAAAGAAATGGACTTGGTAAAACTGAACACCAGATCATAATGTCAAATTTTAATGGGTGCAGAAACAGTTTGAGTAAAGTATGTTGGATCCTTCCAGACATAAAGGTTTTCTAGATAAAGAATGACAGCAGTAACATCACTGATGGTGAAAATCAATGGTGTTAAAAGTGAAGGTGCAGCGTATGAAATTCATGGACTTCAGCAGCAGTGAAACCAAAGACCTTTATTTAGGGTTAAAGGCCACTTACAGAGCTTCCGCCCCGGAGCAGCCCCCGCCCTGCCCGGCAGCACGCGGAGCCCAGCAACCCAACCAGCCAATCAGGCAGGTGATCCCGCACTGACCACGTGCGAGGCCGTCCAATGAGCTGCCTGGTCACGCGCTGGCCGCGTGGCTGCACCTCCCGCCTCTTCTGCTCAGCCCCTCCGTCTGCTGAGGAGACATTCTTTGCTACTGACCTTAGGCTGACCTCCACATGAAGGCACCTTAAAATGTCCAGACTACTCTGCAGTGCAGTGTCAGACTAAGAGGGGACAGCCCATTAAAGAGATGCTAATAATGATGAACCTGATTACACCATTGCCCCTCTTCACATCCTAATGCCTTCTGGTCCCTCTGCCACTTCAGCTGTGTTCACACGAGCTGGTGGTCTTGCGTGAAGCACTGTAGCGTGTCCAACACAGTTGATGTTACAGAATAAAAGCATTTGAAGACACTAAAACAAATCGCTGGCAAATACATCTCAGCAGCAGTAAGTCAGATACATCAAATGCTGTAAATTGAGAGATTGCACAGAAAAGAACTAAGCAGCAACTCCTTTGATACACGATCAGTTTTCAGAAGCCTCCCACCCCAAGTACCAGATTCTTGCTGGCATTATTGAAATTAGATTATATGAAGCATTAATGCATGTCAGAGTGCCATGTCAGAATGCATGTCAGTGGAGAAAGGGCTCTCAGATGTCCCTCTCAACTGGGGCCTCTGCCAGATGCTGCAGGTTATGAAACAACATTTGTAAGGGAAGGCGAGAGCAACTCCTCGCGACGCAATGTTCCCACAGGGATACGGGGATCTGTCCCGGCAGAGCACACTCTTGTTTGCCACACTTCACAAATCATTTCAAAAGGGATAGTACTGAACAGAGTGAAAAAAAATAAAAAGAGGTTATGTACCTAAGAGTAAAGGAAAGGGGGAGAGGAGAGCATCATTATTCTGAAGTGGCAGGGAGGGGGAAGGATGTAATTACATTTGTAAGTTTTCGGGCAGCCGTTAAAACTTTCTATCAAGGATTTATTTTAAAAGGTGCCTACAGATAACACTTTGCTATATAAGGCTCAATATTTTAAAAATATATTTTGATTACAGTGTTGCTTTTATTTTTTAAATCGGCCTTAGCAAAGATAGAGAGGAATCCAGCTTTGCTCTCCAGCGAACCTGAGGGAATTGTACGCGACTCCCATGGCCTGCTAAAATGGCTGCTTGCTGTAATAGCGGGAGCTATGCAGGAAACTCTTCATCTCCAAAGCTAAAGACGTGTCTAAAGACATGTCTCCAGATCTATTGATATATAGAATGGTGCGGAATGGTGCAAGGTTTGAACTGCCCCAACTGCAAGTCAGTTGTGCCACCCCTTGCTAGAGAGCGGGAGTTAAGCACTGCTTTGGGAATCACAGGAATTTTGCAGTCGTGGGCCTTCCACTGTTTAGGTCTTGGTGGAACTACAATTTCTGTCTTGCCTTATGTAATGTACTGTATTTTTTTCTGCTTTCATGCTTGTAGTCTTGGGGTTTTTTTCCCCAATAGGCACTGAAGCCTCAGGAAGAGAAATAAAGCATCTTCAGCATTTTCGGGAGACTATGTTTTCTAGTCTGTCTTTTCTACACTGTATGATGAAGTTTTTTAAAACTAATGCTAGGTAGATCAATAAACAAACCTGCAACAGCTGCACTGAAATATTTTTATTTAGTCTATTCCGATGAATTATTCAGTTCTCCTTTCACAGTCCCACTGCAAACCATAGCTTCTTTTCACATGCATTGCAAGTTGTTCATCATTCAAATTTCCATTTGTTTGACATTTTAAATATTTGCAATTTGCTTCCCCTGCTTTTCATAGAAAGATGATATAGGAAAATTTAAATTGTTTAATCGCTTCATACAAGACTTCACCTCCTTAAAAATGGAAAACTTTATTTGACTTTGCATCTAAAATACTGAGGCATCTCTTTACAATTGTTAATTAAAATGGTCTACTTGAATAAAAACTACCAGGAACTTTTATTAATTTACCCAAGCAACCCTAGACAATGCAAAAACAGATGATGATAGCAAAAAAATCTAAACTAGTCTCCCGAGTAGCTACTGACAGCCAAAGTTCAGACTGTATTTTTACCAATAAAGAAATTATAAATAAATAACAAATAAAAATACAAATAAACCAGTTATTCCATTCATTTAGTATCTGCAACTATTGGAACCACACATAAAAACCCGCAGAACACCTTACAATACACAGGTCCTTTTCTGAAGCTATCAAAATAAATGCTTTGTGACAGAGTTCTGTAAGCGATCAAAATATTTTACAAAGAAAGGACTTGAGCTCATCCATAAAAATCCTACTTTGGCCTTTCACTATTATGGGCATTTAATTTTAGGTATTTTGTTTAGAGCAAGAATTCCGTTGCTTACCCAAAGAAAGGAGCTTAACAGATGTCACTATTTTTTCCTACAAAAAGGCAATCTGCAGTTTTTTTACACGTCTATTTGAAATGAGTGAGAGACAGTGGACCTCACATAGGAGGCAGACCTATGGCCATTCTCACCCGCTCAATTCCCACATCATCGGGCCTCTTTCATGGACCTCCTTAACATCAGCTCTAATCCTGCTCCTTAGCTGGACAGGGCAAGTTCCTGTTGGTGGGTGGTTGTGGGAAACTGAGAAACCATGAGAAACTGTGGGAAGCTGTGGGAATGGTGAAAGTTAGGAGTGAGAAACTGTGAAAGTTAGGAATAACAGATTAGCAGATAGAGAAACCTAAAACACAGGCTGGACGCACCGGTCTCTGGTTGGTTACCTGTTGTCCGTTAGCAGGATTGGACCCAGATAGCAATAGAGTCAAGGAATTGGCTGGAGGCAGGGG